GGACTACAGCCCACTATATGCATCCGAAGAAGTGGGCTGTAGTCCACGAAAGCTTATGCTCTAATAAATTTGTTAGTCTCTAAGGTGCCACAAGTACTCCTGTTCTTCTTTTTGAAGTTAAAAAACAAAATCACAAACAAGACTGGTGATCAGAGTAACATGACCCAGCTTTACAGGATTGATGTATCAAATTATTTCTACCTCTACTGTTCTTTTTCGATTAAGAGAGATGCATTAATTGATAGTAAAATAAATATACTCAGTATTCCACACGTGAAATTTACAAGGAGGGACAAAAAAGTGTATTTGACCTAGAGATAACTAATATGACCACCAAGTGCTTCACGTTGCATCTGTACATGGTTGCCTACCTCAGACATGCTCAAGAGAAGAAAAGCATAACAGATCACAAGGTATTTCAGATTCATTACGGCCCCAGTCTGGCATTCCTTTCACACTCTAAACTTCCATTGTAGTCATTATGGAAGCGTGAGTCTATGTTGTCATTGACTTGCTCATTATAGCCAGATTAACTACTGGTAATCAGGCAGAGATCAATCCTGTATTCTTTAGGTACCCAAAACTCCAATGAATCTGGATAGTTAATGGCTGTGATGAAGTGGAATTTTTCTGCACTATTTTATTAGTCCTGTGTGTGCCTCAGTTTCCCTCTGTACTTTGCATTGCTACCCTGTGGGTGCAAAAGGGTTAAAAATAAAAAGCTGCTCTTGGGGCAGAGCAGGAGACATGAGGTGTTGACATGTAACTGTTGGGAGGGGAAATGAATAGGTCATTAAAGAACTGTCTGAAACCGATCCATATCAATGGAGGATCGATCCACAAAGACATTCGGAGCCCTGGGGATTGAGCAACTGATGCTTATCCAGCAGGCAGAACATGTGAACTCCACAGGGGTTGGCAGGGGCTTGGGGGTGGCTGTTGGAGAGACTCAGCAGCTCTCACCTGAGCCTGACAGCGAGTCAGAGCCAGAAATGGATTCCATAGCAGCACGGCTGATTGCACTGGCTTGGTCAGTATGGACTATATCTTAACCTTTGCTTCTCTATGCTAAACTAAGGGCTTCTGATGTAGTGTTTCAGTTGACTAATAAATTCTACTTTATTTTGAAAAGGCTGCCTGGTGTCACTGCAAATAATTGCTGAGGTTCACTGATCCCTGAAGAGTATAAAAGTCTCTGAGGAGGAGTCTATCTCAGTTGGACTCGCTGGAAGGAACTCACAGTGTGAAATGGGAGTGCAAGAGCCCAGAGAATCAGTCTTGGAGGCACAGAGGCAACATGGCCTACCCTTAAAGAAGAGTAGAACACTTGGGGGTGGCATTCTGAACAGGTACCTCCAAGGGACTGTTTAGAACCTGGAAAGCAGCACTGATCCTGTGGATCTGTGACAATGGGCAAGCAACTAACAACACATATATGAGTTTCTACAATATGTAAATAATGATTCTTATTATTTATCCAAAAGAGGATCCCATCTGGGTCTCCACTGTGGAATGAACTACCATTTTTTTTCTCTCAGGAACAGAAGAAATCTTTAGAGAATGTAGCCTTCCTGATGCCCTTTGTTTCACAGATACATATTCTCAGGAGGACTTCCTTTCTAAAACCACAGCTTAAAAGGCCATGGATTATGGTGGTGTTCATTGACAATTTCTCATTTGTTCTGTTAGCAATGAGATGGGGAATATGACTGTTCTTCCAACAATGCTGTTAATAGTGAGAATGATAAATGAACAACAGACTGAGCAGCTATGGTATGGCTTCACAAAAATTAAATAAAAAAGAGGAAATGGGGATTTGTGCTCATACCATTATTCACCAAACATCAACCTCTGAATAGCCCTGCTCCTGTTCCCATACACTGTCATTGACTTGGATGGTGCTGGATCAGGCCCAATACAAGTTAACTATACTGTCTAGTACAGTGGTTCTCAAACTTTTGTACTCAAACCTTTCACATAGCAAGCCTCTGAGTGAGCCCCTCGCCCCCTTATAAATTAAAATTAAAAACACTTTTTTATATATTTAACACCATTATAAATGCTGGAGGCAAAGCAGGGTTTGGGGTGGAGGCTAACAGCTCATGAACCCCCATTTAAGAACCTCGCAACCCGCTGAGGTGTCCCAAACCCCAATTGGAGAACCCCTGGTCTAGTAGCTAGGGCACTAAGCTGGGACTCAGGAGATGCAGGTTCAATTCCCTGCTCCAATCATAAAGTACCTGTGTGACCTTGGGCAAGTCACTTAGTGTCTTCCTGCCTCAAATCCCCATCTGGAAGTTGGGGATAATGCTTCCCTACCTCACAGGGGTATTGTGAAGATAAATACATTAAAGATTGTGAGGCACTCAGATACTATGGTAACAAGGGCCATAGATTGATTGTCCTGCAGTTTTTTCATGCATGGAATGCCTACTAAATTCAGTGAGAGATTTCTATGTGGAACATCTGCAGGATAACAGAAACCATCCAAGCAGGTTGATTTTTCTGTGAGCTCTTCCTGACACAGGAAGTCACAAGAGAAACTCACCAGTCTGAGAGTTTGGTGTGCTGAACTCAATGCAGTGTTTCTTATTTTTATACTGTCCTAACATCTGCCAGAATTTATTTTCTTGTAAATTTAACCTTTTGAAATGCTTGTTTTGTGGATGCTATACCGTACTTAAACATAGAAATAGTATCTTGTTTATCTTTTGAAATAAGTAGTTCAAATCAGTCAGGTCTATAAAATTTCCTACATATAACTCGGTCTGAAGAAATTAGTGTTTTATTTTCTTGCTGAGCTGCATAAGCCGGGTTTCTGAGCTGTACACAATTAAGATGACAAACTTTAGCTTCAGTAAATTGGAACTCCATAGGGAAGCAGCAGATATGCAGAAATTACTGCAAACATCCAAGTCTTCTATGTAAAACGTGCCTCTATTTCACACAGGGCAAAGACAGAAATAGACTGATGGAAATTAACAGGTTTGTGATCAAAGGGATTTCATCTGTCTGAATGAGATTAAAGGAAGGAAATGAAAACCAATTACATTTGAGCTTCATAAGTCACAATACCATATAATGGCAGTAAAGCTGGGAAGTGTAGAAAATACACTAAAAAGTAACAGACGTGGGGATGGGGTGAAGGGTGGGGGCGGAGGGGTCTAAATAGTTGAAATGGGACCGTAGGCAACAGAATTTTTATATATATTGACCAAGTAGGAATTGCTTAAAATAAGTCTTGTATACTGTAACTGAGTTATGAATGGCACCTCAAAGTCAGGTGTGAAGCCACTTAACTATATACCCTTCCCCTCTATTTTTTTCATTTTTTTTCTTTTGTTTGTTTTTTGGGGGGCTGACACTGCTATTTTACTTTTGGATGGACTCTTGTTCCTTTGCAGCATGTTTCCCACTAGGTTGTGTGAGGCCAATGTCAACTAGACTCTGATGTGACCTAGCATGAAATCCCCTTTTTTAGCTACCAATGGAGCATCAAAGGAGATATTGTGTATTTTAGTGAAGCCAACACAGAGGACTGGTCTACACTGGGCGGGGGTGGGGGGAGGAACGATCCAAGATACGCAACTTCAGCTACGCGAATAGCGTAGCTGAAGTCGAAGTATCTTGGATTGAATTACCTGGGGTCCAGACGGCGCGGGATCGATGGCCGTGGCTCCCCCGTCGACTGCGCTACTGCCGCTCGCTCTGGTGGAGTTCCAGAGTCGACGGTGAACACGTTCGGGGATCAATATAGCGCGTCTTAATGAGACGCAATATATCGTTCCCAGATAAATTGAATGCTACCCGCCGATACGGCGGGTAGTGAAGACATACCCTAAGTCCTGCTCGCACTGGAGCCCTGAAGACGTTGGTGTATGCAGATCAGCTGGAATACTCACTTGGAAGAAGCAAGATCATTTGTGCTGAAATGTCTTTTGGTTTTCAGAACTTGTTGCATTCCTTCCTAGCTGGATCAGTTTAATCACGACCATTTCATTTTTCTTGTGTGCATCTGAGGTACTGGAGCAGCATGTGGTTAAATTACTACATTATTTTTAAGGTGCACTAGTGCCTTTTGGTGATGGATGGACATTTAAAAATATTAATATAAATATAGCTTGTTTTCCAAGAAGGGGTCTCTTTTCAAGTTAGACAATTGGACTGGTATGATAGTAAGTATTTATCCGGCTGAGATCTGGTAAAAAAACAGAACTGCAAAAAGTGAATGTCATGGAATGTAGTGGACATTAAGGGCTTGTAAGATATGGTATGCTTGGGCAGGCATGTAACATGCTTCAGAAAGAAATCAATAAAATTTTATACCAGATCAGGAATTTCACTAGGAGCCCATGTAATGTTTTAGGAAAAGATGTAGCACTGGCTCAAGCCTTCAAGAGTACCTCTGAGAATCCCAAGAGCTGCATTCTTTATTAGGTGAAGTCTGAACACTCTGTGATTCCACAAAGCAAGGTGTTATAGTTGTCGAAACTACTGGGAAGAAAAGGCACTAAAATATTCACATCAGTTTTAAAAGGCAATATTCAAGACTGGCTACATTCAGCTAATTATTAAAAACAAACCAGGGGGTCCAGTCTCCTTTCAATGAACAGTGAGCTCTCATTACTGGGAATTATACAGTGTGTCAAGATGAAAATACAACCCACAGTTAAGGTTTAATGAAGACCCCCCAAAAACTTCCAGATTGGGGAACCTTGAAAAGCGAGCTACTCTGATAGTGGTTCTGTT